GGCTCAATCCTGACAAGACAAAGATAATGTTAGAAAACTAGCAAAAGACTCAAACTAACAGCAAAAAATTTTTGTAGGTACAGCAGAAACAGGAAGCCTGCCAAACAATTAGTGGGACCAGAGGACGATCATGGTGCTAAAGGAGTATTTAAGGAAGATAAGATCATTGCGCGTAGAAGCTAAATAAATTCTTTGCATCGATCTTCACTGCAGAGGATGTGAAGGAGATTCCCACACCTACGCCATACCTTTTAGGTGACAAATACCAGATTGAGGAATCAGAGGAGGTTTTGGAACAAATTGATAAATTAAACAGTAATAAGTCACTAATATTCACCCAAGAGTGCTGAAGGAACTCAAATGTGTTGCAGAACTACTAAGTATGTAGCCATATCAGCTTCTGTACCAGATGACTGGAGAATAGCTAATGTGACACCGATGTTTTAAAAAGCCTCCAGAGGCGATCCTGGCAATCATAGGCCAGTAAGCCTAACTTCAGTACCAGGCAAACTGGTTGTAAAAGTAGCAAAGAACAGAATTATCAGACAAATAAATGAACGTGATTTGTTGTGGAACTGTCAACACAGCTTTTGTAAAGGAGCATCAAGTCTCACCAATCTATGAGAATTCTTTCAGGGTGTCAACAAACACATGGACAAGAATAATCCAGTGGATATAGTGTACTTGGACTTTCAGAAAGCCTTTGACAAAGTCCCTCACCAAAGGCTCTTGAGCAAAGTATACAATCACAGGATAAGAGGGAAGGTGCTCTCATGGATCAGTAACTGATTTAAAGATAGGAAACAAAGGGTAGAAATAAATGGTCAATTTTCACAATGGAGAGGTAAATATCAGCATCCCCCAGGGATCAATACTGGGACCAGTGCTGTTCAACATATTCATAAATGATCTGGAAAAAGAAGTAAACACTGAGGTGGCAAAATCTGTAGATGATACAAAATTACTCAAGGTAGTAAAGTCCAAAGCAGACTGCAAAGAGTTACAGAGGCATCTTAGAAAATTGGGTGACTGGACAACAAAATGGCAGATGGAATTCAATGTTGATAAAGGCAAAGTAATGCACATTGGAAAACATAATCTCAACTATACATATAAAATGATGGGGTCCAAATTAGCTTTTACCACTCAGGAAAGGGATCTTGGAGTCACTGTGGATGGTTCTTTGATGGTTCTTTTGACTGCTGACTCAGCAGCAGTCAAAAAAGCTAACAATGTTAGGAACCATTTGAAAGGGATAGATAATAAGACTGAAAATATCATAATGCCCCTATATAAATCCAACCCACATTCACACCTTAAATTCTGCAGTTTGGTCTCCCAATCCCCAAAAAAGATATATTACAACTGGAAAAGGTATAGAGACGGACAACAAAAATGATTAAGGGTATGGAACAGCTTGCATAGGAGAAGAGATTAAAAAGACTGGGATTTTTTTAGCTTGGAAAAGAGATGACTAAGGGGGGATATGATAGAGGTCTACAAAATCATGAATGGTGTGGGAAAAGTGAGTGTTATTTACTCTTCTACATAAAACAAGAACCAGGGGTCACCCAATGAAATTAATAGGCAGCAAGTTTAAAACAAACATAAGGAAGTATTTCTTCACATACCGCTCAATCAACCTGTGGAACTCACTGCCAGGGATGTTGTGAAGGCCAAAAGTATAATTGGGTTCAAAAAATAATTAGGTAAATTTATGGGGGATAGGTCCATCAATGGCTATGAGCCAAGATGAGCAGATCCTATAAATGTTGATGTAACCCCATGCTCTGAGTGCCAGAAGCTTGGAGTGGACAATAGAGGATGGATCACTTGATGACTGCCTGTTCTGTTCATTCCTTCTGAAGCATCTGGTGTTGGCCGCTATCAGAAGAGAAGATACTGGACTTGGTTTGACCCAGTATGGCCATTCTTGTGTTCTTAAAAGCTGGGCAACACCCTTGCCTGTGGGAGCATGTCCACTATTTGCAACGTAAGTTCTCATTAGAAACCATATTAAATTCTCTAATTTCTCAGTTCTCAGGTTTTATTATTAAATTTTTGTATTACATTGTGACTAGGGCTCCCAGACATGGACCAGTCCATTGTGCTAGACACTGTATAAACAGAGCAAAAAGACAATCCCTGCCCAAAAGAATTTAGAATCTAAATGTAAGACAAAAGACAACAGGTGGACAGACAAGGGAGTACAAGGATACTATGAGACAGTATTAGTTAGCATGATTGGTGGTAGTCTTGACACACCAGTGGCCTAACTGTGGTCAAGTGTTTTGTAGGCACTACGTCAGAGGAGAGTTTTAAGGAGAGATCTGAAGAAGGATAATGGGATAGCTTTGAGGATGTGTACAGAAAGCTGTTCCAAAGCACAAGGGGCAGCATGGGAGAAAGTACAAAGGTGACTGAGTATTTAACAAGTAGGTGATGGAGCCTGGCATAATCAGAAGAGGGAGTTGTCATTTTGCTAGTGCAGAGATGGGCAAACTATGGCCCGCGGGACCCTCCTGCCCAGCCCGAGTTCCTGCTGTCAGGGGGGGCTGTCAGGGAACAGGGGGGGTTGGATGGGGCAGGAGTCCCGGGGGGAGGGGCGTCGTCAAGGGGCAAGAAGTAGGGAGGGATAGGGGGTGGGGGCCAGGCCACGTCTGGCTGTTTGGGGAGGCACAGCCACCCCTAACCAGCCCTGCATACAATTTCTGAAACCCAATGCGGCCCTTAGGCCAAAAAGTTTGCCCGCCCCTGTGCTAGTGAATGACACACGATAGGTAGGGCTGGCATAGGTTGTGAAGGGCCTTGAAAATGAAGACAAGCAGCTTACGTTTGATAGATAAAAGGGTGCCATTAGAGGGATTCAAAGAGAGGATGATACGGTCTAAGAAACAGGCTAGGAAAATGATATTTGCACAACATTCTGAATGGGGAAAGACCATATTTGTTAAGACGAGAGACAAGCATGTTGCCATAACTGAGATGTGATATGATGAGAGCCTGAATGAGAGTTTTAGCTGTGTGGGTGGACAGGAAAAACCATATCGGTGGCAGTGGCCAACTGCAATTTTTACCCCATCTGTTATTAGACAGGAAAAATATCCTTTTTTGACATAGACCTTGCTACAATTATCTACACCTTTGTTTCTTTAAGATAAGATTACTGGAACATGCTCCACATATGGCTATATGTAGAGCCCATTCAGAGACTGAAGCAAATGCAAAATGCAACCACCCACTTTTCAATACATCGCATACAAAATACAAACACCAGATCTTCCTTTCCCCCATATCCTGGAGTTACAAAGATAATTTTTTGGGCTTATTTCACCATGGCAGTCCTATAAATGTTGATTTAAATCTTAATGTTAAATGTTATTTAATTTGTGTTAAGTATCATAAAAATCAAAATAATGAAATTGTGAAGTTTAATTAATCAAAATCTTGGCAGGTGCCTACGCACTTTGCCATCAGATGAATGACTAAAGACTGACCTGCATCTTGAGTGCAGGAAATACAGAACCTGGGTAGTTTGGCTGTCATTCAGACAGATGTAATTTAAAGATTACTGTAATCATTGTTGTGGAGGGCAGATAGTCTTTTTGGACAGGATTTTCAAAGGACCTTAGAGTGTTAGGACTTCTAGATGGTTTTTGCTGGCTATTTAAAACAGGTTACACTGAATATAAAAAGCGTTAAATTTGTATATTCAATTTGGTAGGAGTCTGTTGATAACCACAGCCAGTCAGGCTTTATTCTTGGAAGCTGGTAAGGGGTACTTCAGCAGCAGCCCTTAGTGATAGCCTTAAAACAGGGTGTGCATATGTCCCAGCATACTACTGTTTATACAGTGAGTTTCATAACTGATATTTTTGCTGTCTATAAAATAAGATCAGTTAACTAGGAGTGGGTTGTTAAATATGGGGCCTGTAAAGAACACTATGGGGACAGTAGTTGACCACATATACATATCTCAAACTCCAGCAGGACTGATTCAGCCAAATGTACTGAGAAAGAAACAGAGTTCCACACAGTGTATTTTGCAGAGGTCTCTCATATAAAACCTTTAATAAACAAAGTTCTGTTCACTCTGAATCAATATTAAAAATACCATGGCAGTTGCCCAGTGACTAGTGTGTGTAAATGAACAGTGTGTCATACACAACAGTTTGTCAACTGGCAAGACAGGTCTGTGTGATGTCAACACTTTGCTCATTTTACTGTAACTCTGTCTTCCCTCATCCCACTGGTTTGTCTCATCCATCTGGCAGCATTTTGTCACACCCTAATTTGTGCATATTTAGAGTTAAGGGCTGTCCTTTTACTGAGTGTCTGCAGAGACGGATTGTGGATTCATGTGCCAGGATGCTGCTCCAATACAAACAGATAAATTGAGTGGAGTGTGCCCTTGACCTCCTTCCCCCTGGTGCCACGCAGTGTGCTGTACAATAGCTGACGGCTTCCCTTCGTTTCATCAGAGGCAGTGGCTGTTGCAGCAGTACCGGGAGACAGTCTAGGAAACGCTGCCGTGTGAGAGACGGCGTTTACATGAGATCGGCCGAGGGCCAGCAGCGTATTCGGTGCGGCACAAAACCGGGGCAGTTGCCGTCCCCAGGCGCCTCCGCTCGGAATCGGACCCAGGCAGCGCAGGGCAGCCGTGAGGGTTTATTGTCACACATGTCCCGCCCGCGCCACATGGCCGGGCAGGGCCCCGCTGAGGCGGCGACTCCCCACACGGGGGAGGAGGAGCCAGGCGGCGCCGTCTGCTGCCGCTCGGGCGGGCGAGAGGCCCCACGCGGGGGAAATGCGCAATGTGCCCCCCACCCCCCAGGCTCCCTGCCCCCGGGACGGGTCCTGCCTTGGCCTCCCAGGGTGCTGATCCCTGCGCCGGGGCCAGGCCTAGGCCGGGGCCTTCGCCACCCAGCTACAATGGGCCGCGGCGGGGGGACCGTCCGGGGAGGGGAGCGGGGCAGGCCCTGAGCCCCGCCCGCACTCACCGTTCGCCCGCTTCAGGGCATTCTCGGGCCGCTGGAAATACACCGGCATGATGGCGGCGGGGGCAGCAGCTTCTCCTCACAGGGCGGCAGCGGGTGGCTCCCTACGCCCAGCCAGGCAGCCTGCTGGGCCGGAAAGGGAGAGCACCACGTGACCCACACGCACCGACGTGTCCAGAAGCGGAAACCCCTCCTCCCTCCGTGCAGCTTGCCAGGGGG